CCTCACCCAGTTAATTACAAATAAATCATTATTTAATTTTAAGTACAATAACCCTTCTTCTCAACAATTAAAAAGTTCGTTTATACAATTGAAAGTAATTGATTGTTTTTTGTTATAGGGACTACAAAGTTGTGTGCCAATAAATGGATAATTGAAGTCCAATAATAAATTGGATGTTAGTAGTCAAGGGATAATAATCAGGCGATAGAATTTAAGCAATAGTGGCTGCAATTATTATTGTTGATGAGAAAATGAGATATTATTTATACCATTTGAGAGAGATGAGATGTTTTGCTAAATTTAACCAGAATTTAAAACACTTTATCTAATAATTCATATTGAGCCTTGATATATCATAAAAACTTATCTTGATCGGGCACGAATCTCAAGGCAAATCAAGCCTGAAACTTCAAAAATTAAATCTGGGATCATCTGAACTCCAATTTCATCAAACTTACTATCAAACTGAGCGTCTCAAAAACATAAACCCAATGACACCAAATTTGACTCAATCCGAGCCCAAATGAGTCAAAATTAAAGACCCAAAACAATGTTGGAAGGTTTAAACCACAATTTGGATTATCAAACAATTTCCAAATATGATATGCTTATAGTCGAATCAAGCAGCTTGACGAGAGAAATCCAACGAGCCTAAGATCGCTAAATTCCGACATTGTTAAGACCTTCAAATGTCTGACGAACGGTACACGATCAAGGGATTCAATATCGGCCATCCATCCAAGCACTCCCCATTTACCACTGATCTCTCACCTATTTACGGGTCATGCCACTCCAGAAATCTATAAATAGCAGGGGGGGAGCAAGAAAAAGGATATGAGGGAAGAAACTCCTTCTCGACCACCGCTAGAATTCTACCCAACTTCCACGGGCCGTCGAAATTATGTCCAACTTCCACAGTGATGCAGAAGTTCCGCCTGACCTCCAAGGGACATCGGAATTCCGCCGACCTCCAAGTGACGTCAGAATTTCGCCCGACCTCTAGATGATGTCGGAGTTTCACCCGAACTCCAAGTGATGCCAGAGTTTCACCCGAATTCCAAGTGACGTCGGAGTTCTGCCCGAATACCAACTAACGTCGGAGTTCTCCTCGACCTCCAACTAACGTCGAACTTCTTCCCGACACCAGATCTCTGCTCGTCGCCAAGTTTCTATCTGACGTCGGACTTCTGCCTATTGTCGGACTTTCGCCGGACATCTATCCAACGCTGGATTTCTGTCCATTACTGGATTTATACTTGATGCCATCCTTCTGACCGCCGTTATCAAATAATAGCCCTTCTAACCTCCATCGCCCGTTGACTACGGTCCTTCTAACTTATGTCGTCCATCGACTACAGTCCTTCTGACCTTCGTCGCCCACCGATTATGGTCCTTCTGACTTATATCGCCCACCAACTACAATCCTTCTGATCCTTGTCACCCACCGATTACGGTCCTTCTGACTTACGTCGCCCGTCGACTACTGTCCTTCTGACTTACATCGCCCACCGACTACAGTCCTTCTGACCTCTATCATTAGCCAACAGTCCTTCCAACCTCTGTCGCCAGCCGACTACGGTCCTTCCAACCTCTATCACTCACAAACTACGGTCCTTCTGACCCGACGAACACATTAACAATGACTCTTGGTATTCACATCATGTAATGTACTCTATAAGATGTACATCAAGCTAAGGTCTTCCCCCAATGAAGGGTCTCATTTGTAATCAACTGCAATACTAGTGGATTCATTCAAACTGGTCTAGGCCCCGTGGTTTTTTTCCCCTTTTTAAGGAGTGTTCCATGTAAAAATATTCGTGTCTCATAAATGCTGCACCCTCTCTTTTTATATGTGTGTGTGCTGGATCTTCGTACAACGCTAAGACATTAAACTTTATATTTCTCTATCGCCGCGAACACTCCATGACACAATAAGCCCATTGATTATAAATCTTTCATTCATCATTTGCGTACCTTAATGATATCAAAATTGAATAATCTTGAGCTCATTGATTCTTTTTTCTCATTAAGTTGCTTTATTTGATTATAGATACACAAGATTTAGAGACATCTTGGTTCTTCGGTTAAAACTACAAAGTTTTAAAGTACATTTCAAGTGCACATTTGTAGTCAGATCGGATCACTTATGGTGTCATTAGACTCGTCTCATCAAGACATTGAGTTCAACTATAAATTTGCTGAAATTAGAGCTGTCACGTGATCCTAAATTTAATTTAAAAAAATGTTCAATTCGAATTAATACTAAAGTTTTTATGTCACCAATAATTTCAAATCCAACAAAAATGGTATGATTTAGGTTTTGTATTAATGGGATTGCCCATCTAGATTTAGTTGGTGAGTTTTTTTTTTTTGGGAAATTTTGGGGCAAAAGCCCATCTATTAACTAAGAAAAATTACAGGAAAAGAAAAGTCATCCCCAAACAAAAGCAGGGAAGGGAAAAAGCTAAAATTACAACAACTAAGAAAAGAAATAAAAACCTATACCACCTGAATACACCAACCAATGAAACCAACAAAACTGTGGTATACAAAATTTGATCAGGACTCAGGCATAAGCTGCAGCAAGTACGAGAGGGAATTGAACTTCGAAATGGTTAGATTGAAACCCCTGGTTTCCAAAAAGACCCTCCAAGGGGTGTTGCTGCAGCGATCATCATTGTCCTGCAAAACTGTCTGAAATAACGAAAAAAACATTCTTCCTGGTTGTCGTAGAGGCCATCCAGGACGAAACCAGCAGCAGAAAAATGCCCAGTAGTATTTAGCAAGTTCCAGTTCCAGCACAAACATAATTGTCAAGAGTAACAGTTCCGAAACAACCAAAAGCCAAAAAGAAACGGCATCCAAAAGACATTCCGCCTGAAGGAATTCCAGTTAACCCAAAAGATGCAAAAAGTCGTGACCATTTTTCCATTTCCCCATCTTAGCAAGAACAGCTTTTTTAATCTTTCTAACCACAGTAGTGTGGCATTCAATGATATTTCCAAAAATTCTGTCATTACGAGCTCGTCAAATGTAGTAAATAGCAGAATTCACTAATAGGCAACAGAAATTCAAAATTTCAATAGTGTCCGAGATGTCCTCAATAAATTCAAAGAGCTGATAGAGGTTCGGACGGAGAAGCAGGGTTTGAGATTGAGAAATCATAGCATTTAAGATCTCAAAAGATAAATCACACTTTTAGATTCTCTACCCTCATGGCAGAAGATACAATGAGGATTAACTTTAATGCCATGCCTAAGAAGAAGGTCTGGCATTTTTAACCCATTCTTAACTGCAAGCCAACTAAAATCAGAATATCTGATATCAGAATGCTTATGCCAAACAAAACGATGTCATCTCACCACCGGATAATGCATGAAAAATTCTTTCCGGAATATATTATTTGTTACTTTCTCAAGATTAAACCAAAGGCCGTTATCAGCATTTCTAATAGGAACAGAAGCTATAATACTCTTTAAAGCAGAGGGCCAGTAGTTCGGTAGATCCCAGTTACCATTCAGCAAAATGTAAGAAACAGACTCCCTGTTAAGGCAATCCAGCCAGCTACAGTTAGAATTAGAATCCACAAAATCCATGAGGGATTTGCCAAGGCACCAGGGGTCCTAGAGAAGGGAGTGGTGGCAGTTAGGATGAATCCTAAGCTGCAGACAATGCTTGATTTGCTGAGAAATCAAACAAAGGTTGTTCCAGAATTGTGATCTGCGCTTGTTATTAGTGAACCAGAAGGAATTGTATAGATTGCGCCAGCAGGTGAACAGAAGATTGCTACCATTTAAGAATCTCCAAATGAGAGAGCAGCTGAAGGTATAAGAAAGTGAATCAAGAGAGGGAAGCCCAATACCACCATTGATTTTTGGAATGCATGTGTCTTTCCAGGCAATCAGACGGAGTTTCTTGACAGCAATGTCACGGGAGTAGAGGAATATAGAGCAAATTTTATTCAAAGCTTTGAAACATTGCTTTGGTAAAATGGATCCCCTAATCTAGTAAGCAATAGAGTTGAAAATAGTGTATCTTAAAAATTGAATTCTACCCCCAAAGGAGAGAGCTTTGGCCTTCCAACCCTCTAAGGCCTTAGAGATTTTGGAGATGAGAGGCTGCAAATAAAAAAAGGTAAATTTTTTCAGGTGGATGGGGAGACCAAAATATTTTATGGGTCAAGTGGTTTGCTGAATATTGATGATGTCACAGACGGCCTCACTCAAGTGACAGTTCTTAGAAAAAAGAATAGTGCTTTTAGCAGGGTTAACTATCAAACCAGAGTTGTCAGCAAACCGCTTCAGGATTTCCATGAGACAAGAAGCCTCATTCAAATTGGACTTAGAGAACACCAATAAATCATCAGCATATAAGAGATGGGTAAAAGAAGAGCTACCCAAATTAATACCCAAAAAGTTCTGAGTATTCAAAGCTTCCTCAAAAATGGCAGAAAGATCGTCCATAGCCACCGTGAACAAGTAGGGAGAGAGAGGGCAACCTTGTCTCAAGCCTGAGGATGAACTTAAAAATCCTTCAAGTGACCCGTTAATGGCAACAGAAAAGTAAATGTCAGAGATGCAAGATTTAATCCAATAAATGAAAACAGGAGGGAAACCTTTAACTTGGAGCCGCTGAAGAAGGAAATCCTTAGAAATAGTGTCGAAGGCCTTGTGAATGTCAAATTTGGCACATAAGTACTTTTCTTTGGGGGAAGAGTTGAATTTACCCAAAATTTCTGAGGCCAGAATAATATTATCAGTAATAATTCTTTGATTGATGAAGCCAGCTTGCGAAGGGTGAATAATATGAGGCATAACAATTTTCATCCGATTGGCCAACAATTTTGCAATAATTTTGTAAAAGGAGTTGCACAATGAGATGGGCCTGTAATCATTAACATAAGTGGCATGAGGATGCTTTGGAATAAGAGCAATTGCGGTATTCTTAGCTTGCCTTGGCATGAAGGAGGTGGAAAAAAAGGAAAGAACAGCTTTACAGATCTAATTTCCAAGGGAATTCCAAGTGGCCTTATAGAATTCAAAGGTGAAGCCGTCCGACCCAGGTGTTGCAGTAGTAGGTGCAGAAAAAATGACATTTTTAATCTCTTCCACAGTGAAAGGAGCAATAAGTCCATCAACTAAATCAGTAGGAATAGAATTTCCAGGAGGTAAACAATCAATCCCAATGGGGGGAGCCCCATTGAAAAGTTGTTGGAAGTGATTAATAAAGGCAGAAGAAATACCATAAATGGTGTCATAAAGCACACCATCCACCTTGATCCCTCTAATCTGATTGGAAATGTGCCTACTATTAATGTTGGTGTAAATAAACTTCAAGTCATCCTCACCATCTTTGAGCCATCTAGCTCTACTTCTTTGAGAAATCCAGTCAACCCATCTAGCTTTGTTATCAGAAAGTTCAGAGTTGATAAACTTGAGTCTAGCATTAAGAGCATAGTTCAAAGGGTCATTTTGGAGGATGGAAAGAATTTCAATTTGAGCCTGAGAGAGGGACTCCATCTCATCTCTAATATAGTTGGAAGAGTTCAAATTATTATGCTTTAAGTGGCCTTTTAGCTCACGAAGTTTATGGTAGTGGTCACAGATAGGACTACCAGAAGCAGGACGGGTGAAAACCTCCAAAACATTCTTCCAAAAAGTAGGCAAAGTATTCCAGAAGTTCTTATACATAAAATAGTGTTTTTTGGTGGAAGGGGAATCCAAGTGGAGAATAATAGGGCAATGATCAGAGATATCGGGGTCACTGACAATATAGAAGGAGTTGGGAAAAGAAGACAACCAAGCCTCATTGATAAAGGCTCTATCAAGCTTAATATGAATTGGGTCATCTAATCTGTGGTTAAACCAGGTGAAGTAATGACCAACCGAGGCTAATTCAAAGATACCCGAATTGTAAACAAAATTGTTGAGCTCGCCCAATTTGCTATGAGAGAGAGGAAGACCCACAGCTTTATCCGTAAAGAATCTACAACAATTAAAATCTCCTCAAATAGCACACGGCAGAGTAGTGTTGCTGACCAGAGAAGTAATCGTATTACAAAGCAGTTGTCTTTCGACAATAGAGTTAGAGGCATAGATGACAGAGATGCAGCAAATATCCATATTCTCAGCTTGAATTACACCATGAATAACTTGGCTAGAGGTAAATAAAGGCCTAAAATTAACCTTTTGAGCATTCCACTTCACCCAAATATGACTAGGAGCAGAGTAAGAGAAATTGTTATAAGATCCCTCAATAGGGAAAACCATGTGAGAGTTAAAAAACCAGTCGTCCATGACTGCAGTAGCTGAAATTTTTGCTTCCAGAATAAACAGCAAATCTAATGTAAACTTATTCACCAAAGACTTGCAAGACATAACTTTAGAGGCATTATTGAACCCTCTAATGTTCCAGGAAGCCATACGGGGCAGGGTCATTTATTCTTATGTTTGGAGTTGTTAGCCTTTTTGGCTTGCTTGCTTCTTGTGTTTTTTCGGCTGTGAATTTCATTAGCGGAGTCATTGCTGAAGCTGGAGCTCTGAGTAGGATTGTTCTCAGAGGAAAGCAGGGAAGAGGGGGGGAGGGGGTAAGGTAGAAGTGTTCTGGTTCATGATAGGAGACTGGTCATTAGGCATGATCTTTGGTTGAGAAGGAGGAGGCTGTGGTGGGGGATTTGAGGAGGAGGTGGATGGGTCCTGTTGATCTGCAAGAAGATCAAATTTATTATTTATAGTTAGGCTGACCTGCTTAAGAGCAGCATGAGTCGAGATCGTCTTAGAGGATGAGGGGATGTCAGCAAGAAGGACATCACCCGGAGGTGCAGTTGGGGAGTTTGAATGGCGTATGCGTTTGGAGGAGGAGAGAGGGGCTGTTAAGAGGGGGTGGGGGGGGGGGGGGGGGGGGGTGCGGGGAGCTAGCCGTAGGGGTGCCAAACATCAAAAGGAGGACGGGTTGGGGGAGATTTATACTAAGTTGACAAGAGGGAAGAGGTAGCTTTTCGAGGTTTACGACTCGAACTTCAACCTCTAGAAGAGGAAGGCATAGTAGTAGGAGGAGTGGAATTGGGGTTTTTTGGGCATTGGGGAGGGCCATGGTAAATGGAACTACAGAAGGAGCATGGTGTAGGCTTCCAGTCATAGAGAACAGAGAGGGGAGTTACTTTACCATCCACAGAAATGAAATTTTCATCAGGTAAAAGGGCAGAGCACGAAACCTGAACACAAACACGGGCAAATGTCAACCTGGTTTTTGCTGGCGTGAAGGCATCCATCGCCAATGGCACACCCGCAAAGCTAGCGATTTTTTAGATCCCTTCCGGAGTCCAACAGGATAGCGGAAGGTTTTTTATCTTTATCCAGAAGGGGATCGAGGCGAACTCTTCATGCTTCGGGATGAAATCCGGAGACCATTTTTGGAGAATAAATGGTTTCCCAAAGAAGAACCACGGACCTCAAGACCAGGCCATGTCATAGTCTTCAGGGGATGAAAACTTCAGCAGGAAGAAGCCGTCGTCAAGGGTAAGAAGAGATAGCTCCCCTTTCAGCTTCCAAGTGTGTTTGATCACCGCAAGGAGTGCTTCGTAAAAAGGCCTTCTTCCAATAGAGTATCCAACCAAGGATAGGTTCCATTTCGGAGCTCCAGCATCAAACTGGGTTTTGGTGAAATGGGCAATAAAATTTTTTGTGGGGTGGTGAGCAAGGGAGTTGGAGAAGTCATGGGAGACGGGAGTTTGTGAAGAGAGTAACAGCTTCCAATGAAGAAGGTCCTTGGAAAGGGAAGCCAAGGGGGAGGAGGAGTTGGGTAGAGGGGGAAAAGCGGAGGAGGAGGACATCCCTGCAGCGGAGTCCTTCTCAGGCGGCGGAAAGGAGAAGGAAAAAAAATGCGCGATGAGCAAACCCTAGCAGAGCTTCTCACTCTATCTCTAAACCCGCCCGAGTGTTACTACCTTTAAATATCTTGATCATCATGTGAAGAGCAAGTAACCATCACGCTCATGAACGGGCACTCATTGATGCCTTCATGTATGACAAGGAGTGCATGACGTGTGATTAATGTTTTTCTCTAGACTTTTATGATTTTTTTTTTAGACTTTTATGATAAATGCATTATGTAATTTATAACTTTTATTATAAATTTAAACTTCCAATCAATAAATTAAAATGGATTAGGTGTAAAGTCTAATTAAATTTTTTAAAATTTAATTTACATTGATTTTTTTTTTTTTTTTTTGTTTTTTTTTCAAGCTTTTTT